TATTCTCTCTCAGTCCCCTGGCAACTCATCCCCACATCCTTCTTTCCACTGTCCTACCACTCTAAACCCCCAATCTCTCTCCCCTCCCAACCATCACTATGTATCCACCTCATAATCCCCCCATCTTGCTGCAGTGACAAACCTTTCTCCCCTAATCCCGAACTTCTCCTACCACTAATACTCTCCCCACCCAGGAAGTAGTCACCTGTCTATTTCCCCCCAACACACACACCCAACCCCATTACTTAGGTGGGTGCAGGAGGTTGGGTTGCCATGCCCCTTAACTTGAGTCCTCATGCTGTGAGCCTCACCTACCATTCAACCTCTTTATTACCCTTTCCATAAGCCCCCAATCCTCATTTCACCTGTCATAAATATAAAGGGAAAGGTAAACCCCTTTGAAATCCCTCCTGGCCAGGGGAAAGCTCCTCTCACCTGTAAAGGGTTAAGAAGCTAAAGGTAACCTCGCTGGCACCTGACCAAAATGACCAATGAGGAGACAAGATACTTTCAAAAGCTGGGAGGAGGGAGAGAAACAAAGGGTCTGTGTGTCTGTCTATATGCTGGTTTTCTGCCGGGGACAGACCAGGAATGGAGTCTTAGAACTTTTAGTAAGTAATCTAGCTAGGTATGTGTTAGATTATGATTTCTTTAAATGGCTGAGAAAAGAACTGTGCTGAATAGAATAACTATTTCTGTCTGTGTATCTTTTTTGTAACTTAAGGTTTTGCCTAGAGGGGTTCTCTATGTTTTGGAATCTAATTACCCTGTAAGATATCTACCATCCTGATTTTACAGGGGGGATTTCTTTACTTCTATTTACTTCTATTTCTATTAAAAGTCTTCTTGTAAGAAAACAGAATGCTTTTTCATTGTTCTCAGATCCAAGGGTTTGGGTCTGTGGTCACCTATGCAAATTGGTGAGGCTTTTTATCCAACATTTCCCAGGAAAGGGGGGGTGCAAGTGTTGGGAGGATTGTTCATTGTTCTTAAGATCCAAGGGTCTGGGTCTGTAGTCACCTAGGCAAATTGGTGAGGCTTTTTACCAAACCTTGTCCAGGAAGTGGGGTGCAAGGTTTTGGGAAGTATTTTGGGGGGAAAGACGTTTCCAAACAGCTCTTCCCCAGTAACCAGTATTAGTTTGGTGGTGGTAGCGGCCAATCCAAGGACAAAGGGTGGAATATTTTGTACCTTGGGGAAGTTTTGACCTAAGCTGGTAAAGATAAGCTTAGGAGGTTTTTCATGCAGGTCCCCACATCTGTACCCTAGAGTTCAGCGTGGGGGAAGAACCTTTACATCACCCCAAACTGCTTTGCCCCTATTCCCTACTGCTCTGTTCCCTAATTTTTTTTTGGGGGGGGTGAGAGTGGGAAGGGTTCCTATTTCTAATTTTTCCCCAAATAAATAACTTTCCCCTTAAAATCCAGCCACTCAGTCCAAAACACTTTTTGTCTTAAGGAGAAGTTAATCACAAGCCACTACCCATGTTAATTCAAGAGTGGATTCACAGCCATCAGGAGCACTCATTCATCCAGTCATTATCACCTCTTAGTTTAAACAGTACAAGGCAGCAGAGAGCAGAAAGAAATCATTTGGGATGGGAAGAGGCTGTGACTTGGGAATCTCTTGGACTAAATTTTGATCACTAACGCCGCCGAGCACTATGCACATAGAATTTAAAAGCAGTACAAGTAACTTTTTTGATTTTAGGGCACTTATAAGAGTCAAGTTTAAAGCAGATAAAATGGTAGAAGCAGAAACAGAAACCCTCTACCCTTTTTTCTGTATTGGTATATGCACCATGTAAAAATATTTATATTTTCTTGAATACTGTTCTCAATTTGTACAATGCTGTAGCTGTTGTATTAAAGTGTAATTTTGTAAATATTTACTTCCACAGTTACATTATAAGATAAAATATGTAAGGAATTAAGTACTTTAGAATATAGGCCAACACTTGATGGAGATTAGGAAGACTCTTTCCCTATGGGCAGGTTAATCCATAATTATCCACATTAGGGTTTCTTGAATCTCTAAGGACATAGTAACTGCCAGTATCAGTTAGTAAAAAAAAAAGATGGCCACTGATCTGACCCAACACAATTGTCATGTTCTTAAAATGATGAAAAATTCAAGGAATGCCTCTGTTATTGCTCTCCTCAACTGAGGGAGAATATTATGTTCACAGAAATTGAATAGTGCCAAACAAAGTTCTCAAAGGCCAACCCCAGTAATAAAACACAAACTGAAGTAAAAACACCCACATTTCTCTTCTGCTTTTAGTTCATTGTCAATATTTCCAAATGAGCATAAATTAAATCATGGAAAGTTACATAATTTTCTGCTGGTAATCAAAGTATTAGAAGGATAGTTTGTAAAGACAGTGTTAATTGCTGGCTAAAATGTAGACGTTACATACAAATGAACTTTTAAAATCTACCACAGGGGGGGGGAAAAAAAAATGTACTGATTCAGGTGGTCAGTCAAACTGCAGGATAGAAATCCACACACACAAAAATTAAGAAAAGCCAGGATATTTTTAGTGGGCAAATACTGACAAAAAGGATCAATATTCCTTGGTTAGTAAATTCTTTACTTTGTGCTAACTAGCACTTGTGACAGATATTATGAACCCAGGCATATATTAAGATCTCTATCCACTTTATAAATGTATTCTATCTCTGAGACAGGGATTGTATGTTGCGTTTGTTGGGGAGTGTTACGGAGCTCTGTCTAGAAACTAAAATCAGTGGGACCCTGCAGACTGATCAACAGTACCACCCCTTGGGTGAATTGCATATGTTGATTCAGACTAGGTGCAAGGGACCCAGGAGACAAAGGAAGAACTTGGGGTATAAAAGGCCACCTTGAACTGATGGGGGACCAAGAGCCTCGTTCTGATTTAACAAAGTGATATGAGCCTTTAATCCAGGGGACAAAAATCCCACACTGAGGGTTTGAAGGACTGGAACTTGCCGGGGTCTCTATAGGAAAGATGAGGGACCTCTGGTAAGCTTAAGTATGTGTTTAGACCTTTTATTAATACATTTTCTCTAAGGCTTTTGTCCTTAAATAAATGTACTTTGCTCTGTGGAAGCAGCCTTTTTTCCTTTTTCTGCCGGCATCCTGAGGTGTATAGGGCACCCACCACTTTCTGCCATTTATTTAAGTCTTGTAATGGTCTGTTCAGCCTTCTGAGTGTCATGCTGATATATCGGATTTCTTCCTCAAATTGTTTGTGTAGTGTTTCTCTAAGACAGTGGTTCTCAACCAGGGGTCCATTTACCCCGGGAGTACGCAGAGGTCTTCCAGGAGGTACATCAACTCATCTAGATATTTTCCTAGTTTTACAGCAGGCTACGAAAAAGCACTAGCAAAGTCAGTAAAAACTACAATTTCATACAGACAATGGCTTGTTTATACTGCTTAAATACTATCCACTGAAATGTAAGTACAATGTTTATATTCCTGCGAAAGTAAGCAATTTTTCAGTAATAGTGTGCTGCAACATTTTTGTATTTTTATGTCTGATTTTGTAAAAAAGTAGTTTTACGTGAGATTAAACTTGGGGGTTAACAAGACAAATCAGATTCCTGAAAGGGGTACAGTAGTCTAGAAAGGTTGAGAGCCACTGCTCTAGGCCACTCACTTTGTCTCTTCACATATTATAACTTGCCATTGAAGTTGGAAGATGCCACCAACACAAGTGTGTCCTAAATATGTCCATTGTTGTCCTCTTACTATGTTTGATGCTTTAGATTGGCTTGTTCTACTTAGAATTTCTGATGTTGCAAGCAATTATTTCCAATGAACTCTGAAGATCTTCTGCAGACATTTACTTTGGAAGAAGGAGTTTATCTCATCAATTTCTGTTGTAGATTTCCATGATGCTGCTCTGGTGGTCTTGTCACTGGTAAACAAACAGGCCAGGTCCACACTAAAAAGTTTGATGTAGCTGGGTCAACCTCTCAGGGATGTGAAAAATCCATACCACTGACCAATGTAGTTAAGGCACCCTGCTCCTCCCTGTAGTAAGGCAGTGCTAGATCAATCTAAGAAAACTTCCATCAACCTAGCTACTGTCTCTCAGGGAGGTGGATTAACTACAGCAACAGGAGAACCCTCCCTGTAATGAGTGTCTTCACTGAAGTGCTACAGAAGTGCAGCTGCAGCATTTCTCCTGTAGACATAGCCTCAGTGTGGATGGGAAAAAAAAACTTCAGGAGCTAAGCTAGATCACAGGGTTCCAAAGTGAAAAGAATCATGGGAGCAAACCCAGTTGAGCCAGTTATGTTAATACAGCTAGTTACCAGGGAGCTGCAGCCCAGAAATCCAGTCCCTGATCAGATGAATTGCTTGGAAAAGGCAAAGCATGGGGCCGCTGTGTTCTGTTTTATACCCTTAGACCCATGTGCTTAGAGGACACAAGTCCAGGCATATCTGGTGAGCATTACTGAGTCCCCAGGCAAGACTGAGCAATTCCCCTGATGTGGCCTTGTGCAAGTTAGTCATTGCATTGTAGCTTCCTTGCTGGACAATGGCTATTCGACACCCATCCGGGTGTTTGTTACTTTCCTTGCTGTTCTCTCTGGGGAGCTAATATTTGGCTGATTCCCCAACTTACAGCATGTTTTAGTGACAATCATACAACACAATCTCATAACTTCATATGCATTAATGATATACATATTTAGATAGAACAATGACTTTCAACAGATCATAACCTTTCTCCTTTATATGCAATATCTCAATTTTATATAAGTAAGGAATAATGGGGATTACAGGGTCCTCCCCCAAAGTATAGAATGTCACAGCTACAGGGTAGAGGAACTTGACAACAAGCAGAACCTTTTATTATGCCTTAGTGTCTTCCAGCTTTGCCTTTAATATGAAAGTATTTCGACCTAAGACTAATTTTTTATGAGAATTGCAAGTCAATATCAACAAAATAGCAATACAAAGGCAGCATTAAAGGTGTGTGTAGGGGGATAGAGACTTACTGTGTACGTGACAGCTGCCAACATTCCAATCAAGGTCAAGGAGCTAATGGAAAATGATAGGGCAGCCAAACCATCTGTAATATAGAAGTGGAGAAAAGCCTAATGAAAAATTTATATATAAATGCAAGACATGCCCCAGAATGGAGAGTAGATTGTTTTCCTGAAGTTAAAAAAAAATATTCACCCTTAGTTAAATTAGATTGGCTAACATTTTAAATCAACCACAACAATTAGTTAAAACAGAATTATGATGTTAGTTTTTTAATTACATTCCAATCCAAGTAAAGCATATGAAAAAAGTCATAATAATCCTAAAACATGGGATAAAACAAGACAATTTGAAAATTTAACAAATGAGTGATTAAGTCTGGCATTATTGGCAGAGGGGAAATGGGGGTTGACATGTAAATAGACTATAAAAAGTTTAATATAGCCGGGAGATTAAACTGTGATGTCCTTTAAAGATTAACAAGTTGTGCTTGATACCCTAGACAGGGGAAGCCAGTGAGGGATACAAAGAGGGGTGATGTGTTCAAAATGATCTATATAGCATGATTTTTTTAGTGGATAAGACAAGACTGCATTTATCTAGGCTGGAGAAAACTATATAAATTTCTTAATCAAAAATATCAAGATGTTTTCTAACTATCTCAAATTAACTCAAATTTATATTCTTATGGGAAAGACTAATGTGTCATTTTCTTTTAAAATACATACCAATTGGGACTCTAGCAACCATGTACATCAGATAAGAGCTATTCAATAAACCCATGCCCATAGTCCTAACCATTACATTCTTATTTTCAATTCCTACCACAATTTTGAACAGGACCCAGAACAAACAGAATTCTCACTTTTTCTTCAGTGACAAGCAGCAGTCATTTTACTTGAACACGTCCCTTCAAAAACTTTAAGCAATCGACATATTTGAGACCCAACATTTCATCTGCCAAATAAAAAACATTTTTCCAGTAAAAGGTAAAAAAAATGCACCAGTGAGAAAAATGTGTCTGATGCCACAGTCTCCAGAAGTAGTTAGTTTTTCATCAGTTACCTTCATACACACTTCTGAACGGCATACTCAGTAACAACATTATTTTCGCTTTATTACCAGCACTATGTAGATGAGCTCAGATGGCCATAATCATCTATGCTTAGATATTCTCATTCTACATGTAGGGTTGAGGGGAAAAAACCCTGCAATTCTGTATTCCTTCCTATGAAAAACAGGATTTCTATTTCATAAGTATTGTAGTTACCTTCTCTTGCATAGTAGTCTCGTGATTATTTTTCTTTTTGGATTTATTGTTTATACATAAACCCATTACATTAATTCCACAAAAGAACAAATTGGTCTAGATGTGCTAAACTATAAGGTTCTAAAGAGAACATAACATACCCACAAAGTACTTGCTGAAACAAAATATAGGTACAGGTATCCTATTTTAATATCCATCAAGATCAGGTACAGTTTAAGGGTCTTCCAATCCTGAGCGATAGAACATTAGTAAAAATAATAATGAATGCCCAAAAAGCGGATAGCTGACCAGAAACACATATGGCAAAAGCAAAGAAAAACTGCTGAAGTACATCTGGAACAGTGGGTGGAAGGGGGAGCGGAGACCTAATCAAAGCCAATGCCCTCTTGACCTAGAATTATGCAGGGGATTCTCCTATTCTGGGGGCACCATGTGGCTCCACCTGCTCCTGAGCCATCTGAACTGAGGGACCAAAGAAGTTATTGGAGAAGCCAGACAGAAACTGAGCCAGCTGGAGCACACAAAAATAGCTTAAAGCAGGAGCCTGCAGACTCAGATGATGATCCAACTAGTTTTTGAAAGCATCTATTCTGGGCATCTTCCCTTCTGATGATTGCTTATTTGCTCCCTCAGTCTCTTTACTTCAACCTGACTCCACCTCACCTCTGTGCTCCTCTCTTTACATTCACCTTTCCCTCCCTTACTCTCTCTTTTAATGTCCCCCTACCTTTCTTTTCTCTTTTAGTGTCCCTCTACTTTTCTTTTCTCTTTTGAACTAATCCCCTACCAACAAAACTCCAAAGAAAAGCCAACAAAAAAGTTACATAACTAACAGTGGGGTGGGAGGAGGTATTGTTTCATGGTCTCTGTGTGTATATAATGTCTGCTGCAGTTTCCACGGTATGCATCCAATGAAGTGAGCTGTAGCTCACGAAAGCTCATGCTCAAATAAATTGGTTAGTCTCTAAGGTGCCACAAGTACTCCTTTTCCTTTTGCGAATACAGACTAACACGGCTGCTACTCTGAAACATAACTAACAGTGTTTGCAAGCCACCATATTGTTCAAGTACCAGAGGGGTAGCCGTGTTAGTCTGTATCCACAAAAATGAGGAGTGCGGTGGCACTTTAAAGACTGAGATTTATTTGGGCATAAGCTTTTGTGGGTAAAAAGAAGAAATGGGTTTTTTACCCACGAAAGCTTATGCCCAAATAAATCTGTTAGTCTTTAAAGTGCCACCGGACTCCTCGTAGTTTGTGTGTTCATATTGTTCAGTTCCTTATAGGTTCAATCCCTTCACTCCCACCCTTTATCTTGTGATGCCCGTGTAGCAGCTGTGACTGAAATTCTTTCCATTTGTACCTGGGAAGGAGTGTGACCTTCCTGATGTAGATTTGGCTACAGTTATTCACATCTTCCAGCTCAAGATGAGACTAGTGTATGGAAGTAGGTGGGGCTATACCTTGAGAGCACCCAGAAGCTAAAAGTTTTAATAAAGCAGCAGCCACAGTCTGCACTAAATTGCAAGTCATATAGATGGCATGTTACTGTTAATCCACCATTCCTTATTGTGGAGTATCAGCCTCTAGAATCAGGGGTGGGCAAAAGTTTTGGCCTGAGGGCCACATCTGGGAACAAACTGTATGGCGGGCCATGAATACTCACAAAATTGGTGTTGGGATGTGGGTGGGGGTGAGGGCTCTGGGGAGGGGCCAGAAATGAGGAGTTCAGGGTGCAGGAGGGGGCTTTGGGCTGGGGCAGGGGAGTGGGGTGAGGGAGGGGGCTCCAGTCTGGGGGTGCGGGCTCTGGGGTGGGGCTGGGTATGAGGGGTTCGGGGTGCAGGAGGAGGATCAGGGCTGGGATCGAGGCTACAGAGACCAGGAGGGGGATCAGGGCTGGGACATGGGGAGAGGCTCAGGGGTGCAGGCTCCCAGTGGCGTTTACCTCAAGCGGCTCCCGGAAGGAGCGGCATGTCCCTTCTCTGGCTTCTACATGGAGGTGCGGCCAGGCAGCTCTGCATCTGCCCTGTCCTCAAGCTCTGCTCCTGCAGCCCCAGGTGGAGGGCTGGAGGGGGTCATTGGAGGTGGGCTGTAGGAGCCGAAGCAGAGCCACGCAGCTGCTTCTGGGAACTGCGTGGAGCGGCCCCCTCCTACTTGGTGACCCAGCTGGAGTGCCGGAGCGGGGCAAGCCCCAGAGGAGCTCAAGGGACAGCTTAAAATGGCAGTTTGCCCACCCCTGCTCTAGATGGAGCTGAAAGTATTGGTTTTAAACTAGAGAGACTTAAGGTGTTTTAAGAACCTGGTTTTCTGACAAAATTGCCTCTTTCACCATGCCCACCTCAGTTACTATCAGATGACATACTTTCTCAAAGATGGCAGCCCTATATTTTAAAAGGAAGAGCGGTTTCTGTGACAGACTGTTATTCAGGAAGGTTCTTGAGCTTTGGATTTCTTCTTCCCTTCTAGGTCCTTTGAAGCCTAAAAGTATTTTCTAGGCATGTTGAAAAGCACATCTTTCTTTCAGATATTTGGAGAGGGGATGCACTAACTAGTACAGTGGAAAAAAGCTGGGTTATTTTGTGGGCAAATATTACATAGAGTTTGTTGATTTGTAATGTGTATTTTTAGTTTTTGTAAGTGTGGTCAATGTGTATTGTAAGAATTTTGGATTATGTCTCTGCTCTTACAATGTTATGATGACTGCTTTCAACTCAGTTATTTACATTAATTAAACCTTTCAAGGTAGACTGAGCAAGCAAGTTATTTAAAGTTGATAACAAAAGAAAATAAATATTCTGGGTAGGGGAGATTTAAAACAGGATGTACATTTATGGTAAAATCCCACTAAAGAAAATAGGCATTTTTAAAACTGATTGAACAGGACCTTGTATAGAAGAGAAATATGCTGCATTTTTCTAAACAAATAGTGCACTTTATATGGATGTTATTTTTCCAAGTGTAGGATCATTCAGTGTCAAGTCAACCAGCAATACTATAACTACTATCAAAACTTCTTTCCAGCTTCTCATTCTTATCTATGTGGTATGTCAGAGTTACATGACATTTGAAGTGTTCCATTTTAGTTAAACAAGGATAGTTGCTGGGGTTTTTTTAGTTAAATGATACTAGTAACAATTACACAATTAAAACACTCAGGACTAGTTCAGCTGCATCTATTGTCAGCAACAGGAAATTTTCCTAGTGTAAAACAAACTAAGTATAAAATTGTACATACCCAAAATCTTCAAGCCATTTTTATGGATCCCCTTCAACAAAAACACATTGTCTGTTTGTAATTCCCTATCACTCAGATTTGAAAACACCCAGCATATTAGAATGACGATTGACGCATTTCATTTCAGTATAATGTAAATCCTAAAATAAGTTACACGTCAGAACTGCTAGTAGCACTTTTAGAACTCCATGTTCCTTGGTTTGCAAGCTATCATTCTAACACTTGTGTTTTGACAGAAAGCAATCATCTGTAACTTAACAGAAAAATTCCATTAAAAGAGTTGAAATTCCCTTGAACGTTTGGAGATTTCTTTGATGCAATACTGACAGTTTAAAAACAGTTCTACTCTGAAGAGACTGTAAAAATGACACCTTCTTACTGAACATACACACTCACCTTCATCCATGCTGTACATAGAACCAACCGTCCTTTCTTTATTGACCAAGGACCAAATTTTGCCTTGACTTAGGTCATACAGAAACTCTTTGAATAAAGAAGTTTTTACTCTTATTAGCACTACAAAGCAAATATAGCTGTAGGAGAATGATCTGGATTCTATTCTGGCCTGGCTTTTAGTCAACA